CATCATTTATGATTTATTATCTTAACTATAAACAATATGGATTGAAAGTTACTGGAAATAGAGATGTAGACTTGGCTAGTGACAGAATTAATTGGAGAGCCAGAATCCAGAATCACCAGAGAGAGACTTTGTACAAAAGTCAATTGCTTGGGTACCTCTGTCCCATTCGTGTTTCTACCGTGAAGCAGTTGTGTTTGCATGGCTGTGTTTCGGTTTGAAGGGTGGGATATGATGTGAATTTACAGGGTACAGAGGAATAACACCTGAGTCCTCAGGAATGGCAACGCATGGGGAGTATCATAAGCGAAACAGTATACTCTGTTATGTCCATGGTACTGCTCATATCTATAGGCGACGGTTATCACTTTCCATCAGGTGGGCCGTCAGCTTGTTTGCCATTCTAAGTTGAATAAAAAAAAAAGAAAGATCAATAACTCAGTAAATTTTCAAAATTGGTAATTCGATAACATCAGGTGAGAACAGAAAATAACATAATGTAGTGTTATCGAACACCAAAGCCGAATATATGACATATTCTGACGTAAATAAGAAAGCTATAAACACAACAGTTGAGATTCATGTATTTAACGTCAATCAGTGGGTACAGAAATTGTCTAAGAATGTAATGTTTCATATAAGAATGAAACATATACAGTAAGGCATTACTTTGTTAAAGAATCTGTTGAAAGTACTGCGCTAAGCATTAAGTAATTCTCGACAACTTAACAAAATTTCCCTATATCACAAAGCATCACAAATGTGTTTCAGCATAAGGATTAAATATGATTGATTGATATTGGTATGATAATATTGATTGACAACTATAATATATAGTGTTTCAGCTTTGCATGTTCACTAATGAGGACATTATTTAACATTTTCCATTATAAATAAGGCGGAATACCTATTATAAAAGATTTACAATGACCTCAATGGTATCTTTCTGTCTTTTTCTTTTTTATTATTATTTGTGACTTTTGATGTATTATTAGTATACAGATAAAAATTACATGAGGTTATTGTACAATGCTTAATTAATCCATAATAACAACACTTACAATTAATTACAAATAATCTCCCTAGGTAGGTACTATAATGAAGCACCGTATTTAAGATACTGACAGCATTACCTCTTTGGATCGCAAAATTTTACGCAAAGTAGCTACAAGCTCTTGGATCACCAATAACCTCGATGAGGTGCACTGTGATCGTTCAAAAAATGCTTTGCATCTGGTCTCCATGGGCCCATGGTATTTACAACAAATGGCAGGAAAAAATAAGACCCGCTGTCACTGTTACCGCACCCGAACAAGAGGGCAACCTAGATAAATGGTTCGATGCTAACGTGTGTATACACATCGCATCCCATACCAAATACTTCCCCATTTTCCAAAGAACCAAGGTCACGCCATCAAGTCATTCGGCACTCAAGAACACATTTGTTATTAGTTCTTCAAGCTACGGGATTAGCCTATTACCACTTCAGCTTACTTATGTTATGTCGGTCGACATAGCCCGAAGAATAAACTCTTTGGTTCTTTTGTAGATATCCTAATTTCGAATTCTATCATGCAAAAAACTCCGAGCATAACCTTCTCCATAGCTTGTTGAAAAACTTGAAGTTTTTGCATATAGGTAACAGTATAGGACTATGTTTCAGCTCCGTAAGTCATCACTGGCAACACATACTGGTTAAACACATTCGTTTTCAAACTATATAATAAAAGCACAATTCTTAAATTTTTTCCTGCAATATTTATTTCTAAGCTTTTATAAAATAAAACATCTGACTTACATATAGGCAGGTGTTATAAGTGTTTTTCATTGTTAACGACATACAATACTTATCTTCAGCCTAAACCAATATTAGGAGATCCTTACTGCCTCGGTAAATGTTTTCAATAATCCAGATCTCTGTATAAAATATTAATATGATCTAAATGCGACCAAAGATATTAGCTAGTCTCGTGTAACAGGATCTCATTTCACCCTACCTCTCCTTTTTTCTCTTGTCCATCCTTTCATGATATTATTAATAAGATATCTTTGGGAATAGCTTAGAAATATAACAACTTAGAAAGCCGAATCCTGTGGGACATTGGAATGAACTACTTTGAGCCTGAAACGTTGACATTGCATATTAGGGATGTCATAATGAAAACAAGCAATTCAATTAGAAATCCGAAATAATGTATTATATTAATAAATTTGTCTATATTAATAAACTATATTCATCAACAATGTTTCTATGTAAAGAATTTTTATAATTATTGCAGAATATAGCGCTGATAAATCGACGTGTGGTCCCAGCATAGAATAGGCTATCCCTTCCTTTCCTGTGGATGTTGTAAGAGGCACCTAAGGAAGGGCGAGAGATGTGTATCAGCGTCCCTTTAAAAATATGCCCAAAGCCTAACTGCGGTTGCCAATCCGCCTGCCAAGTGGCAAGTACTAGCAAAACTCCCCAAGGAAGAGACCTATGTTCAGTAGTGGACAGTTAAATGCTGATATAATGATAATGATGATAGAGATAGTAATAAGCACACGTAAAATTTAAAACACAAGTACACAGCCGAACATTCGCCGCTAATGTACAACAGGAACAATTACACTTTTTTTATAACATAAACTATAGATAGACAAAATTAAGTGTTTGCCATACATCTATTTAACAGTTGTTAAAATATAAACAATACCTACTAGCTTACCAATTGGCACAATAATAATAATCCTCGCCACCCATCCGGATACAATCCAAGTTAGTCCGGTCAGTCAGAGCAGCGATGGCGCAACGCCAACCCATTTCATTAGGTAGATGTCTACCGCGATATGAATTGGATCTGTCGATATACAACTAAGTAACATTATAATAACATAGCGACCTAGTGAATGTATGAAACATTATATGAAGGCATGTACTTCATCATCTTCATACTGCCGTTATCTGTCTACTATTGAACATAGGCCATCCCCATAGACTACCATAAGAAATGGGGCCGATTCTTATGGCAGTTTACCATTGGGAGAATTTTGCTAATAGTCGCCATGCTTGGCAAGCGGGTTAGCAGCCGTAATTTGACTTCTCATAATGTTTTAGAGGCACGCTGCTGCCCATCCCTTGACCATTAATTTCCTATAGTCGCCACTTACGATACCCACGATAAAATAAAAGGTGACCCATTTCTATGCCGGGACCACATGGCATGTACTTAAATGAATAGAAAAGCTGCTTTTTTTCAGCCATTACTAAATGTGCTAATGCTATGCCTATACGTTCTGGTTACATTTGAACCTACTCAAATTAAAATTGACAATGGAATTTACAACGCCCTAAGAGGGTTCATGCAGAGGATAATTATAAATTATGTAATTACGAACTATTCTACTTGTCTCTACCAACGTTTTCTCACTAATGTGTGAGATTATCTCTACGACGAAATGATATTCAAGGTATACTGATAGACAGGCGCAGACGGAATTACCATTCTATTTTACCTTATTAATGAAAGATAGACAATATTTACTACAGGAAAAAAGTAATTGTCAGTAACATGGTCAAACAATTCATTGCTAGCAATACACTGCAAAGAGGGAGGATGGCGGGGAGTAAAACACACTCGTTGGTAGTAAACTGGTGTACTTCAGATTCACTGGAATACTCTGGTCTTAACCAGTTACAAAATCTCTCATATATTAATTGCTACATGCTAATATGGAATATAATATTAGGAAGTTATTTCAAACATTTTACTATGTTCATGGAACATGTCATTAGTTACGTTATCATGTCAAACCTCCCCTAAAAAAGGAAGGTGTTAGGGTATCCATCTCCTCCCTCTGAAAGTATCAACCTATTTACACAATAAAATAAAAAAAAAACTTAATTATGATTAATTATAATAACTTAGTCCTAACTTTACATACTGTTACAATCTTATTTTTCATTACAAATGACCACATTTACACTCAATTCGTCATTTGACTTTATCCTCGCCTATCGTCTCTAACTGGAGCCCCGCCAGCGTATAAATAACCCATACCATTCCATTTTCACCCGTTAAATTATAATTAATTATTTATATTAAAAATTGCAAATAAGTTGACCTGTACAAAAATTATAATTGCTTGCAATGTATTGGACTTTAATCATTTATAAACTGCAGGTAACAATAAATAAATTAATTAATTAATTAAAAAACGTTTACTTCTTTTCATCAGGTGGGCCATAAGCTTCTTTGCTATTCTAAATTATTTAAAAAATATACTTACAAAGAAATAACAATAATTTTAATCCATAATTAGATGTGTTGACTGTGTTATTACTGTTTGTTAACTATGGAAGTTCTACGCACTGAACTGGACTGTAAAAATATTTATTAAATGCTTGCTCCACACGGGTGCAGTATAGAAATAAATTGGTGCCGGTATGGAATGATTAGATAATAATATTACTATTGTATCCATCTAAATACCTTTCGAAACTCCACATAATTTATATATATATTTTTTTTAATATTAAAATGGTTATACGAAACTATCTATATAATATAGTTTTTATTTGTTTGTTTGTAATATAGTTTTTTTTTTTTTTTTTGTAGTCCTGATACTGAACATTATTGGTTATATTTCAGCATTTTCGATAGCTCCTAATGAACTTAATTTATTTAAACTCGATTTTTGACTAAAAAGACTTTTATATTCAACAAAAACTTTTCTAATTTTAAATACCTAAAATTACAGAGAAAATATATAAATCATCCATTTTTCGATAGTTCAGAAAATTACTTACTTTTATTTTTAGAAAAGCAAGCTTTGATACGAAAATATCTTATTTTGTTTCTTTGCTAATAATTTGTAATGTAGGAGAAAACAAAATATCAAATGCAGAAGTCAGACTCAAAAATTGTGTTGTCGAATGTTATAATGTGTGTGAAACGAAACGTAACTATCCTATCCACAAGCCGAAATGTCAAACGTCACATCACTTACGTCATATCATAGATAAGTGCAATCTGTGGTGCAAAATATTGAAATGTTTTTATTGTGTACATCTTCCAATCAGTTGTATTATTTCATTTATTTGCATTAATTCTCATTCATTGTTACAAATTCTTGACAAATGAAATATTAGAGAATGTCGGCTCCAGCAGAATTAAGTTTTGATGAAATACTTAAGTTTATGTTAGCTCATAACGGTAGAGTTACTAACCATGATTTGGTCAAACATTTCAAAGTTTTTCTTATGAATCCTGACATGAGAGGTGAGTAATTTGATAAATTTTTATATCTATCAAATGTTATTAACTTCTTTCACAAATAGTTACTTATACTGAGTTAAAAAAAGTATATGTAATAATGTATTATAAATATTTTAGTGCTCTATGTTATCATATTTTTTTATTATGTTCATCATACTTATTTAGTTAATACCGATAGTTAGTACCAATATTAACAATTTTTTTATACAACTTAGAATGGCAATGAAGCTGACGGCCCACCTGATGGAAAGTGGTAACCGTCGCCTATAGACATGAGCAGTCCTATGGACATAACAGAATACACTGTATCGCCCATGATATCCCCATGCGTTGCCAGTCCTAAGGACTCAGATGTTATTCCTCTGTACCCTGTAAATTCATGCTATATCCCACTCTTCAAACCGAAACACAGCCATCCAAACACAACTGCTTTATGGTTGAAACACGAATGGGACAGAGGTACCCAAGCAAATGACTTTTGTACAAAGTCTCTTAATGTATCGAATGAGAAAATTTGTTGTAAAGATATTTGAATTGTTTCTCTATTGCATTTTAAACAGCAAAATGAACATCTATGAATTTTTGTATGCAGATAGTAATATTTTTATTTTAACACTTAATAGATAGGCCCTGTAGATTTACATTTTCCACTGCATATATACTTTATAGCATATCACACACTTAAAAAATACTGAACACTAATAAATACTGTTATGAAATATTATAAGAAATATAATTGATTTACTAGTTGTATTTACAATATGCTAAGTCATTCATGTTTATTTAATTCACCTAAAAAGTTCTCAGAAACTAGAAAAGACATAGAAAATTCGGCCCATACACAGTATTATTGATCATTTCAGATGAAGCCAGGAGTACATTTAAAAAGCATGTAAACTCACTAGCAATAATAAAGAATCAAAATAATGAAAAATGGTTAATATTGAAAAAGAAATATATGCCTGATAATGAGAATGAGGATGAGAGTAAAACTTCAGAGTCATCTGCTGCCAATGTACCTGAAAGTTTTTCCAAACCTGAGACAGATGTTCCACATCGTCCACCTCCTCCTGTCCAACTTAATCAAGATTTCAATGTTTTGTCTAACATAATTCAAGATACTGTAACCTTACGAAACAAAGGAGAAATATCAGATAATTCCATAAAGGCTAACTTAGTAAGTCCAGTAATAAATAATTTGGTCAGTCCATCAGAAGATGTTCCTCCAAAAGTGTATCCTAGAAGGAAATCATCAGATAAGACTGGTAGTGAAAAAAGATCAAGTACTGGTCAAGCAGGACAAAGATCATCGATACCAAACCAGGATGCGGCACCAGAAGAACCAACATTGACATCATGTCGCAGTGAAAGTATGCTGATTGATAATGAACAAAAAATTTCTGTCAAAGAAAGAAAGCAAATGTTTAACAGAATGGCCTCAGAAAGTGATGTACTGAAAGTGAACAAAGTAGCCAACTTCAATATGCAGGTGAGTTGTTTTTTTGCATTAACCACTATCTGATCTTTGGTCTTTCTGTAATTAGTGTAGTGAAGTTCGGAGCGGTCTATTCATCTGTATATTAATATTATTTTTGAGGGTTCCATACCTCTAAAGGAAAAAATGTAACCTTTATAGGATCTCACTTCATTGTCCGTTCATCTGTATGTCAAGACTCTTTTTCTTAAAAATGTGTGGAGGTATAAAGTTAAAATCAATATCATATACTCAGGTCTGCAGTCTCTTAAAGCAGGGAAAAAATCAAGCTTCTAAATCAATACAATCAAAAGATATCTCACAAAATAATTAAAACTTGATGATTTTGTATGGAACTGTTAATGCAGGAGTCTTACTCACACTTGATCCCCTTTTTTTTATTTTTGTAACTACATATGTATGTATATGTGGATTTATTTAAGTGCATATCAGTAAATTAAAATGTACATTTACATATATATATTTAGAAAAGATTAAATAATTTCATAACCTTTGGTCAAACTGTTTATAATATAAACTCTTTTCCATTCAAAGGTTGCCTGAAAGAGACACACTTTGGATTTTAGTGATAAAGTTGTTTGTAATAAATATTATTTTTTATTTACTAATGTATTCTTGGACGAAACAATAAAGATCTATCTATATAAGAATCTATCTATTGTCAATAATTTTGCTAGGTTTCTCTTAGTGATGGTACAAGGTGTACTACATAAAGTCAGCAAAATTATAGGCAATTTTATTTCCCAAGAAATATCAGTCATCTTTTTTAGCTTATTTATTCACATTTGATCAGTGTTTCACATAAACTATGTTGTATTAAAATGTATCATAAAAGATTTATAACATTGTTAGGAATAGTATTCAATTCAAATCTAAAATACTTTATTTTTAAATAGTCCTTCCAAGTCTACATTAATATGTGACAATGGTCTAACTGTAAGGCAATGTACGAGGACACTAAGAGCCATATATTCCTCTAATACTCAATACACTTGTTTTTATACAACTTAGAATGGCAAATAAGCTAACAACCCACCTGAAAGTGGTAACCGTCGCCTATAGACCATGGACATAACAGAGTATACTGTTTCCCCCATGATACCCCTCATGCGTTGCCATTCCTGAGGACTTAGGTGTTATTCCTCTGTACCCAGTAAATTCACGCCATATCCCACCCTTCAAACCGAAACACAGCCATGCAAACACAACTGCTTCACGGTAGAAACACGAATGGACAGAGGTACCCAAGCAATCGACTTTAATATAATGATGACAATAATGGGCCATTGCTTATTAAACAAACATTTATACATAATAGGAGCCACAGACATCTCCCTATGTCAAGGCTGTTTTGACGTCGAAGAAACAGTTGCTCCTGGAATGTGACGCTGTGGCCCTTTAATGTTTAGAAATCCTCGGAACAGTGACGTCGCTCCGTGAGGCCTGTGAAAGTCCCAGAAAGCTTCTGTGCTTCTGGGTGAAGCTGGGCTGGCTGTACTTGCCACGATTCATACGCATAATGGTCCAAATAAGAGGCTAAGCGCGGAAAAGATAGTCCAATTTACATTACAGTTTAAAAATCACAAGGCACCGGTGAAGGACGGAATTACAGCAGATCTTCTAAGAGCGGAGCGGGTGAACCGGTCCCTGTGATACTTCAGAAGTTATTTAATTTCGTTATTCATAACGAAATTAAATAGCTTCTAAAGTAGAGCAGATGCAATCCGTTTCTTCAAGAAGAGTGACAATACCCCATTGAAGAACTATAGACCGATATCCCTTCTGAATCGTGTCTACGTATTGTTTTCGAGCGTCCTGACCAATTATCTTATGCGCGAACTTGATGGCTTCCAGCCACCCAAACAAGCTGGCTTCTAAAAGGGCATTATTACCATATACCACATACATACGCTGCGGCAGATTATACAGAAGACCGAAGAATATAATCTGCCACTATGTCTGGCGTTTGTGGAATATGAAAAAGCGGAATGGATTCGGTGGATAATATTATGATATAGACGATGGATGGTACTACAGTCCCTCCAGCAGTGCCAGATTGACTATAGGCATATCTAAGCATCCATGTCACTCCTATACCAGTTATGATTGAGAACACTGCTCGAAATGGTCGACGAGTATATATACCTGGAACAATTTGTCCGACTAAGTAAGTCCAACTTCGACCGAAAGGTTAACTAAACGAATCGAACTCGGCTGGGTAGCGTTCGGAAAACTACACCACGTATTTTCATCGAAAATACCTCAGAGTTTGAAGACGAAGGTCTATAACCAAAGCGTTTCGCCATTGATGACCTATAGAACCGAAACACGGATCTACCCAGTTCTCCATATGCAAAAGTTTTAAATTACTCACTCAGCTATGGAGAGAGTTATTCTCATAGTTTCTTTGCGTGACAGAATTCAAAATGAAAATATCCGCAAAAGAACTAAGTGACTGACATAGCTCGAAGAATAAGCAATCTGAAGTAGCAACGGGCTGATCACACAGCTCGAGGAACCGACAACCGATAGGGAAGAAAGTTTTTTGAGTTACGAACCGTGTAAGCAAACGCAGTGTAAGACGTAAGGTATTGCCCATCGACAAAGTCCATCTACATATTAGTAATTTCTTTACAACATTTGTAACAAATTTTATAATCATTTGCAAAAAAGGCCACACGATGCGAGTCAATCTCAGTGATATATATATTTATATATTTTTTTATTGATTGTAAAAATTATATAAGTCAAGTAATGCTTGAAGTCGTTACACACTTTAACTGGAGGTGACGTGTTTATTATTTACCTTGATCTTAATTCTTGTATACACCCAGTATATACCCAGATACTCTCCGCAACTTAAATATTAATTTTTCATCTCACATGCACATACTAAAGGATCGCGAAAATTGCGTTACAAATTACTAAAATTACATAGCAGCTATTTTTCGCAATTCTGCTAAATAGTCAAGTGTCGTCTTCCCTTTGGTTGCGATCATAAAATTGTAAATGTTTATTGCGTAGAAATAAAACACCGGTTAATTATAATCTAAGTCACACATGATATTATTTAATTTTAAAATCGTCAGTTAATCTCATAACCTAATTAACAGCGTGTGTTGCTTTCGTTGGGTCACTGAGCATCAATAAAGGTTATTAACGATATATCGCAGTAATGGAAAGAGATTATTTGATTCTCTATTAAAGCAAAAATTCTATGGGTTTTAAAACGATATGTAAGAATATATAAAAATCAGGTTTAAAATATTAGCTTTTTTGAGTAAACATTTTTTTAGTTTAGATTTTAATATTTTCTTTTTATTTATAAAAAATTTAAATCGTTATAGATGACCTGTAGAAATTTTTGCGATTTACTTTACACTCGTGTTTACCTTCAATTGCTTTTAGTTTCTTTACCTTGCTTTTTGAAGTTACTGAGTTTTGAAGAAGATTCGTAAAAGTCGTCAAAAGTGCACAACTTAATTAGCTATCTTTATTTGCTCAGATCACTTTTTTCTTGATACAAGAACATATATTTTTTTGGTAATAATTAAATCGAAAGCATTATAATTGTGAATGTTTGTTAGAAATTATTTATAATTGAAGGTTAGGCAATGCTTACGTTACGTCCTACTATTCAACATTCAATTTACAATTATTTGCTCAGTTAACAAAATTTTCGATAATAGACTGGAAAAAAAACAAATATTGAAGAAATCAATTAATTTAACAAAACATAATTAATAACAAAAATACGTTAAAAGATGATATCAAACTCAACCGAGCGGAGACAAGAAAAATGAACTAGTTATATCATAAAAACACTCACTTTATTTAACATACGTTCTCTTCATTCGTCTATCATCAACATGAATAATTACATTTTAATTATATATTTAACTCGTTAGAGACCAACTAGTAAAGCGATGCATAGTATTTATTTAGATAATTAGTGCTGTGAGTAAATAATTATCAACATTTTTGGGTATACATGTGTGCGCGGGTGCACCTGTTAGTGAGTGAGCGGACATTGATAATACTCGTAGATGTTTTGACGTTGACTCCATATAAAAAAATGCGTGGATGCAAAATAATATATGTAAAATAATAATCAAAAGTCTTAAATAAAATAACAGCAAAGGTATATAATATTAAAAAAATAATAATAAAACTTGATATTAGAACAATAACAATATTATTTATACATAACCTGAACATTCCCTTTATAAGAATTTTTTATTAAGAAAACATTAAAATCAATAATACATAAATTATATTCAATGTATAATATATCCAATGATAATTTGTATCCTAAAGGTCTATCTTAAAATCTGTTGTAGGTTTTATCCTTAAACATCATCTAGTAGTCTATTTCATTAGTTTTTCTCCATCTGAAATCCACGCGTACAAAATAGTGGGCAAAAAAAAATAGCATTAAAATAAAACATCGGTCATTTGTTATAGCTGATGTAACGCTAAATTCTCATCAACCCTCAATAAATATTTCATTATCTAACCACTTATAAACAGCGTCATTATTATTCAACCTTTAAGCCGGTAGAGAGACCAACTGTAAATTACTAAAATACAACTATGAATATCGTTATCTGCTCTAATAAAACTCTTTTGAATATTAAATTGTTGCGGTGTGGGTAAGAGTTTCCTGCGAGTCAACACCTGGTGAAACTAATTGAATTGTAAAACCTTAACGGCAGTCTTTGACCCTCGTAATGACGGCCAATTCATTTATGATTGTAATATTTCGATAAAATATTGGTCTAACATAGATTTGAACACTGTGCATTGTATTTAGTAGTTTTGTTAATAGAATGGATACGTGGTAATACATTATAATGCCAATAGTAAGAGGCCTATGTTTAACAGTAGACAGTTAAAGGTTGATATGATGATGATGAATGTATTATAAAGTAAAATATGGTGAAATCATTATCGCTAATCATGTAACAATCAAATTTATTGTATGCTATTACTTA